AGTTACACTTCTGCGCGGTTTCTGGGTGTGCCTGGACCTAACAGGTGCTGTTCTATTGGCAGAGGTCTGCACTGAGTTCACTGTATGGGAATTGATTGCTTTTCTGTTAGCCTTATTCATTTTTGACTCTGTTTTGTTTTGTTTTCTCTCTTTTTGAAAACTTCAAATAACACAGGACACATTAAGTTGAGGGTAACGATTGAGTCTGGAGGGAGGTGAGGAGGCACCGAGGAGTAGGGGACAGGGCTCTCGTGTTGTCTTACTGGGCACAGTAGGTGCCTGGATGTTCATGTAACATCTATCCCGTCACACACTGGTAATAAACTTTTTAGACTGGCTTGGTAAAAAAAAGAAAGCCATCTGGGCAAACTACAAACTCTGCATTTTCATGTCTGAGATCAAAATGCTCTTCAGATCTCCAACTTCTTTCAGTTTTGTTGACTGCAACACACTTATTTCTCTTGGGCTCATTGCACTACCTGTTAGCAACTCTCCTTGGCAGGTACCCCAAGACTCTAGCATCTCTAGCATCTTGGGGTCTCCAAGATAATCCAGGCTTAACCTTCACAACTTCATATAATTGCCTCTCTGGACCTCCATTCAGGTACATTCCTGCCACATGCTTGACCTTGGTGGCTTTCCTTAGTTGCAGAGAGAGATTCTACGGAATTCATCCTTGATTCTTAAGTAGAACTCATGTAGCCAACACTGCCGAGTTCTACTGCTTAGTGGTGCTACAACATGGCCAACTTATTTAATTACACCTTTACCAGCTTTCTGAGTTCTATTGTCTCCTTCACTTATAAGCTTGGATCTCCTAGAAATCACTGTGTAGGCCTGGCTGGCCTCAAAATCAGAGATCTGTTTTGACCACCACATGAGGACACCCAAAAGGTGATGATAATATTATTATAAACTAACCAGTCTTCACTGTCTCTCGGGTCTCTTTAAATATTTTCCAGCCTCTCATTCCCTAGGAAGTTCAGGGTTCTGTCTTGAGGTACCCAGTGTTTCCCAGTTCTCTGTTCTGCATCTTCAAGGATGCCTTTGCTCTCCTGCTGACTTCTCTTCTGCTTGCCTGCCTATACTTCTTGCCTGGCTACTGGCCAATCAGCATTTTATTTATCAACCAATCAGAGCAACACATATTTATAGCATACAGAACAATATCCCACAGCAGTGGCCATGATAGGTTCTCCTCTAGGGTCTGTGACCTCTTTAGACAAGTGTAGGTAATTAGGTTTGCATTATTGGGCCTAATATCATTCCTATTGATCAGGCCTTAAGTCCAATAAGACACTTACATTAGGTTTTACCTAGACAGAAGCACTACATTGCATCCTTGTGGATATCTTGCGATTGAGGTCATTGTTTTGGTTCATAACCTTTATATAGCTTGGTAGATTTATTTATAGCTTTTCTCTCTTGGAATCTTGCACATACTATGAGAACTCATTCTTTGGGAAGAGACTTCAGGTCATTTCTAGGTAAATTCTTCCAAGTCCTATGTCTGAAGTATGTGGTATTCTTAGCAAAAGGGTCTTACCTGAAAGTTTTATGAGGCAATAAAACCAATGGAAATAGCCCATTTCATTGGAGGAGACTCTTGAAGCCCCTGGCCAACAATTTGAAATGAGGTGTCTCATGCCTGGCACTGGGGTCTCTTTTTATTAGATTTAGCATTCATGCTAGGTTTGACAAGCACTCATCTCAGAGATCCTATTCTATGCTGTGCCATTTGAAGTAGATTTTTGGAGTTCAGAAATTCAAGTTAATACTCCATTTTGCTCCCTAACCAGTAAGATAGTGTGTACATTTATTAACAGGCCAGTTACTCTGATATAATCATTACATGTTCTATGCTTTTATTTTTTTATTCTTCTCTCATATATTACATTCCAATGGCAGTTTCCCCTCCCCCCCTCCTTCTCCCAGACTCTCTCGATCCACCTCCCATCTTCCCCAGATCCAAAATCCTTCTCTCCCCTCAAAAAAGAATAGGCCTCCTAGGGACATCAACCAAACACTGTTGTGGGATATTTGATCACAGTGTATGAAAATACGTTGTTTTACTTCATCTGCCTCATGTGCCTTCTGATAGGTTTAATAAAGACTTCAATAGCCAATAGGTAGGCATGAAAGGATAGACAGGAATTCCAGACAGTAAAGAATTCTGGGAAGAATCTGAGGCAGGGTATTCACGAGTGAGACAAGAAGGAAGTAGGATATATAGAATGGAGAAGAGGTATTGTACCACGTGGCAAAATGTAGAATAATATAAATGGGTTAAGTTATAAGAGCTAATTGGGAACAAACCTTAGCTAAGGCCAAGATTTCATACTTAATAAGAAATCTCCTTATCATTATTTGGGAGCTGACAGTCCAGAGAAAGACCTGCTATGAAATATGGCATAATAAACTACAATAAGACCAGGCACATACTATCACACATCAAGGCTGGACAAGGCAACCCAGTAAGAGTTAAAGGGTCTCACAAACAGGTAAAAGACACAGAGTCAACCTCCGCTCCCACTGTCAGGAATCCCACAAGAAGACCAAGGCACTCAGCCATAACATATGCAGAGGACCTAGGTCAGAACTCTACAGGATCCCTAATCTCAGGAAGCCAACATAAGTCCCAGTCAGTTGATTCTGTAGGCCATGTACTCCTAGTGTCCCTGAACACTCTGGTTCCTCCAATACTTCTTCTCCCTCTTCTGCAGGACTCCCTTATCTCTGCCCAATGTTGGCTGTGGAATTCTGCATCTGCTCCCATCAGCAGTCCCTCTGGTCTCTTTGATGATGATTCTGCTAGGCTCCATCCAGTACCAGATGTGTATCTTTTTTTTTTTTTTGGCTGTTCTTTGTCTACAAAAATATGAATCTTTCTTAACAGACTCTGTGGTCTTTGATTTCAGATCTTTCTTCCTTACAGAGAGATAAATATGAGTACTAAAGCATTTTATTTTAAATCAGTGCTTTGTTTCCAGAGCACTTTGTTTAAAGGTGGATTAAAACCTTGGCCACCTTTCCCACATTTCAGAAAAATTATCAGAGAACCTAATTCTAATTTCATGTGAGTGACTAGACTATGTCCTCAGGATTTAAGCAAAAAGGAATAACAGATAAGAGTGGACACAAAGTGGGAAGGATTTCTGCCTCTTACACAGTGTGTAGGAAAGAGAAGGAACTGCCTCTCAGAGCAGCAACAGCAGAGCTCCAACTGCTATATTTCCTGGGCAGCCTCATTAAATGAATGCTGTTGAAGAGTGTGGTGATTTGAATGAGAATGGACCCCATAGGCTCATATATGCTGAATGTTTATTTCCCAGTTGATAGACTGTTTAGAAAGGATAAGGAGGTGTGACCCGGTCAGATGAGGTGTGTCACTGGTGGTGGGCTTTGTAATCCTAAAGCCAAAGTCAGACCCAGTCTCTTCCTCTTCCTGAATTTTGCTTGTCATTAGATAAAAGCTCTCATCTACTGTTCCAGGGACATGCATGACTGCCTGCTACTATGCTCCCCACCATGATGGTCATGGACTCACTCTCTGAAACTGTAATCAAGCCCTCAATTAAATTCTTTCTTCTATAAATTGTCTTGGTCATGGTGTGTCTTCATAGCAATAAACAAGTAACTGAGAACAGAAGTTAGGTTAAACCTAGGTAACATGAACCAAGGAGAGAAAGTATCTAAATTACTTGTGGAGTGAGACTGAAGCAGTTTTTTTTATTTAATTTTTTTTTCATTTTACATACCATTCCCAGTTCCCCCTCCCTCCACTTCTCCCAGCCCCACACCTCCCACTCATCCAACTTCCATCCTCAGGGGGGATAAGGCCTTCCTTGGATAGTCAACAAAGTCTGGCATACTAAGTTGAGGCAGGGACTGGCCCCTCCACCCTGCATCAAGGCTGAGTAAGTTATCCCACCATAGGGAATGGGCTGCAAAAATCTAGTTCCCATGGTGAAATGCTTAGCACTCTGGACTTTGAAGCAGATTTTTAAAGACTAGAGTCTATGTTCCTTATTTGGGTCATCATAAATTTGTAGAATAATAACAAGATTGTTAGAGAATATAAATCACTAAATTTTCTAAGACAACTTGGTGAAGATAAATCCCATGTCAGGGATTTCCTTGAGATGTTTTCTGTGAGAGGTCCTCTACTTGGGGAGAAAACAGTAGTTCAGGGGATCAAAGCCCAGTTGTCTGTAGCAATGACTTCCATCCTATCCTGTCAGAATATCCACAGATTCCTAGGTTTCTAGGAATTTGACCTGAGATATGCTGCTGTGTTTCAGGAGGCTGGGTAAACCCCACTTAGAGAAGGCACACAGCCCTCCCTCACAGGCCGCTCCCCTCAGCCTCCTGCACCCTGGGTTTGTGTGCAGCTTCCCCTGCAGTCTCCCTCACTGTGTCACTCAGAGCACAGTAGTACAGGGCAGAGTCTGCCAGCTGCACTGAGGACTTCTGCAGGTGGAAGGAGCTGCTGCTCTTATGGAGAGTGGCCTGGAACCCTTGGTGCTCTATCTTCTTATTGTCTGTGGCGCTCTTCAGGAGTAGCTGAGGGGCTTTGTTGAGATATTGAACATACCACCAAAGGAAAACATTTGTGTAAGTAGCCTGATAGGTGCAGTTCATGATCACAGGCAACCCCTCTGTGACATTGACCAGGTCTTCTGTCTGGGTCACTGAGTCTCCATTGCTCCTTCCTGAAAAATCAATAAAGAAATAAATAGATAAACAATTAAGGAATCATTTTGCTATGTGAGAAAGAAGATAAAGACAAATGTAACTTACTGAGCATGAAGAGGAGCAGCAGAACTGAGCAGGTGTCAGGAAGCATGTTCATAGGAGAAAATGACACTTGGTTCTTGAGTGCATCAAACTCACAGGGCAAGTCTCCTGCAGGACCTTACTGAAAATCCTCACTCACAAACAAGGACCTCCTTCTGCACAGTGACAGTCTGTCATGTGAAGGCACCACCTGGATGCAGACATTAACCACTTGAAGAGGCAGCGCCCTCTGCTGATTTCCCTTCAAACTGCACCACAGATGTCTGCACAACACAACAAAGGATGCAGGTCTCAAGTTCACAGTGGGTGCCTGAAATCACCAGTGTTACTGAACTATGTGTATACATTTTTATTTAGTGTAATAGATGTCCATAAAATAAGACACACACACACACACACACACACACACACACACACACACACACACACACACACACCTCTGATAAAATTTATCTAATTTTTCTCATCTTATTATTTCTTAGGTAATGTTATGCAATTGATTTTGAATATGCTCACCTTCTGCCTTCAGTCCTGACAGATTCATCCACTCTTCCCTACAAACCCAGTTTTGTCCATCTCTTTTAAAAATAAAACACCTCAAAGTTTTTACTACACAATGTGCTGCACATATACACTTGGATGTGTGCCCTCCAGTAGAGGGTGGACTATGGACCAGGGGATTCATCTTTAAAGAAACCCAGCAGCCAATACCCCTTCATGATAAAGGTATTGGAGCGATCAGGAATACAGGGAACATACCTAAACATAATAAAGGCAATTTACAGCAAGCCAACAGCCAACATCAAATTAAATGGAGAGAAACTCAAAGCAATTCAACTAAAATCAGGAACGAGGCAAGGCTGTCCACTCTCCCCATACTTATTCAATATAGTACTTGAAGTTCTAGCCAGAGCAATAAGACAACATAAGGAGATTAAGGGGATACAAATTGGAAAGGAAGAAGTCAAGCTTTCCCTATTTGCAGATGACATGATAGTATACTTGAGCGACCCCAAAGATTCCACCAAGGAACTGATACAGCTTATAAACACCTTCAGCAACATAGCAGGATACAAGATCAACTCAAAAAAATCAGTAGCCCTCCTATATACAATGGACAAAGAAGCGGAGAAGGAAATCAGAGATACATCACCCTTTACTATAGCCACAAATGACATAAAATACCTTGGGGTAACACTAACCAAGCAAGTGAAGGACCTATATGACAAGAACTTTAAGTCCCTGAAAAAAGAAATTGAAGAAGATGTCAGAAAATGGAAAGATCTCCCATGCTCATGGATAGGCAGGACTAACATAGTAAAAATGGCAATCTTACCAAAAGCAATCTACAGATTCAATGCAATCCCCATCAAAATACCAACACAATTCTTCACAGACCTGGAAAAAATAATACTCAACTTCATATGGAAAAACAAAAAAACCAGGATAGCCAAAGGAATCCTGTACAATAACACAACTTCTGGAGGCATCACGATCCCTGACTTCAAGCTCTACTATAGAGCTACAGTAATAAAAACAGCTTGGTACTGGCATAAAAACCGACATGTGGACCAATGGAATCGAATTGAAGACCCTGACATTAATCCGCACACCTATGAACATATAATTTTTGACAAAAGTGCACAATGGAAAAAAGAAAGCATCTTCAACAAATGGTGCTGGCAAAACTGGATATCAACATGTAGAAGGCTGCAAATAGATCCATATCTATCACCGTGCACAAAACTTAAGTCCAAGTGGATCAAGGACCTCAACATAAATCCAGCTACTCTGAACCTGCTAGAAGAGAAAGTAGGAAGTAGTCTTGAACGCATTGGCATAGGAGACTACTTCCTAAATAGAACACCAGTAGCACAGACTCTGAGAGAAACAATCAATCAATGGGACCTCTTGAAACTGAGAAGCTTTTGTAGAGCAAAGGATACGGTCAACAAGGCAAAGCGACAGCCTACAGAATGGGAAAAGATCTTCACCAACCCCACATCTGACAGAGGACTGATATCCAGAATATATAAGGAATTCAAGAAATTAGACATCAAAATGCCCAACAGTCCAATTAAGAAATGGGCTATAGAACTAAACAGAGAATTCTCAACAGAGGAAACTCAAATGGCCGAAAGACATTTAAGGAACTGCTCAACATCCCCAATCATCAGGGAAATGCAAATCAAAACAACTCTGAGATACCACCTTACGCCTGTCAGAATGGCTAAGATCAAAAACACTGAAGACACCTTATGCTGGAGAGGATGTGGAGCTAGGGGAACTCTCCTCCACTGCTGGTGGGAATGCAAGCTTGTACAACCACTTTGGAAATCAATATGGCGCTTTCTTAGAAAATTGGGAATCAATCTCCCCCAAGATCCAGCTATACCACTCTTGGGCATATACCCAAGAAATGCTCAACCACACTTTAAGAGCACTTGTTCAGCTATGTTCATATCAGCATTGTTTGTAATAGCCAGAACATGGAAACAACCCAGATGCCCTTCAACTGAAGAATGGATAAACAAAATGTGGTACATATACACAATGGAATACTACTCAGCAGAGAAAAACAATGGCATCATGAGGTTTGCAGACAAATGGATGGATCTAGAAAAAATCATCCTGAGTGAGGTAACCCAGACTCAGAAAGACAAACATGGTATGTACTCACTCATAGCAGGATACTAGACATGAAACAAGGATGACTTGTCTGCTACTCACATCACCAGGGAGGCTACCTGGAAAACAGGACCCCAAGAAAGACACAGGGATCGCCCAATGACAGAGAAATGGAATGAGATCTACATGAACAGCCTGGACATGAGTGGGGGTAGTGAAGGGCGAGGGTCGAGGGAAAGAGAGCTTGAGGGAGCGGGAGATCCCAGCTGGATCAACAACAGAGAAGGAGAACAAGGAATAGGAGACCATGGCAAATGAAGACCACATGAGAATAGGAAGAAGCAAAGTGCTAGAGAGGCCCACAGAAATCCACAAAGATACCCACACAACAGACTGCTGGCAATGGTCGAGAGACAGCCCGAACTGACCTACTCTGGTGATGGGATGGCCAAACACCCTAATTGTTGTGCTAGAAACCTCATCCAACTACTGAGGGATCTGGATGCAGAGATCCATGACTAGGCCCCGGGTGGATCTCTGGGAGTCCAATTAGCGAGAATGAGGAGGGTTTATATGAGCGAGAATTGTTGAGACCAAGGTTGGATAAAGCACAGGGACAAATAGCCAAATGAATGGAAACACATGAACTATGAACCAATGGCTGAGGGGTCCCCACTGGATCAGGCCCTCTGAATGGGTGAGACAGTTGATTGGCTTGATCTGTTTGGGAGGCATCCAGGCAGTGGGACCAGATCTTGTGCTCATTGCATGAGTTGGCTGTTTGAAACCTGGGGCCTATGCAGGATTGTTTGGCTCGGCCTGGGAGGAGGGGACTGGACCTACCTGGACTGAGTCTACCAGGTTGATCTCAGTCCGCGGGGGAGGCTTTGCCCTGGAGGAGGTGGGAATGGGGGGGGGGGGTTGGGGAGAAGGTGAAGGGGACGGGAGGGGGGAGAACAAGGGAATCCGTGGCTGATATGTAGAACTGAATTGTATTGCAAAATAAATTAAAAAAAAAAAAAAAAAAAGAAACCCAGCAGCTTCGAAATGCCTATAGCTCCTTAGCTAAGGGTAGGAATGTGCACCTTCCCTCCTTGCTGAAATTGCATCTGGCCTGATCCTTTGCAAGTCTTATGTGTGCTGTCAACCTCTGTGAGTCCATGTGTGCAGCTGCCCTGCTGTGTCCAGAAAACACTGTCTCCTTGTAGTCATTCCCCACCTATGGCTTTACAGTCTTTTCACCTCCTCTTCCTCAGTGACCTCTGACACAGCTGACACACATGAGTTCCTATTGAGGAGCCATAAAGACTGTGGCTTAGGTTAATAATTAAGAAAAACAATTGAGTTCCAGTAGCCCAGATAGCTTAAACTCTGAATCTTAATGTTGGGAGATGTGTTCACAGGTTTTGGAGTGCACCATAACTGAAACAAAGCTTTGAAAATAACAAGTTCAGCCAGGCGGTGGTGGCGCACGCCTTTAATCCCAGCACTTGGGAGGCAGAGGCGGGTGGATCTCTGTAAGTTTGAGGCCAGTCTGGGCTACAGAGTCAGTTCCAGGAAAGGCACAAAGCTACACAGAGAAACCCTGTCTCGAAAAACCAAAAAAGGAAAAAAGAACGAAAAAGAAAATAACAAGTTTAGACTAAGATGTTTTTGTCAAATAGCTTTGAGGTGAAAAAACCAAGAAGACAATCAAAACTTTTAGAAAGGCACATAGTTGAGTGAGGAACTCATTAAGGTCAGTGAACTAGAACAAAGTGAAGCCACCCAATTGTTATTAACTGACATGCTTTTCTTGCTAGTATGAGTTGGTGACCAAAAGTGATGATTAATTCCTTGTGCCCATTTTTACCCTAAGCTCCCTAATATAAAAAAAAAAAAAACTGTTGATGAGGGAGTATGCACCTGAGGATTTAAAATAGAGCTGACAGTTCTTTTTCATATATAAAAGTTTAGATGTGTGATTCTTCTAAGACTATTTATGAGATTACATTTTGAGATAAATGATAAAATAGCTGTTCCTTTCTTTGTAACTGTAAAATGCAGCTTACCAGCAAAAGAACTGGCTGAGAAAAATACCTTGCTTATTCATACTGTTAGTCTATAACATATTGCTTGGACATGAGTATATGTGGGTTCTTGGGATGACTTGTTTTTCATTTATAATATGTAAAATGTTTAACCTTGTAAGGTTTATGGAAAATATACTGTCTTACTTGTGTTCATTGTAATCACTCACTTGAAAAATAAAATGTAACCACATTGTAATGTTTATATTGCCTGAAAAATTCTACTGGAGTATATAAGTTGTACAGGACAAAATGAAGTTAGTTAGAAGGAAAACATCAAGAAAGTTAGAAGGAAAACATCAAGAGTTTTAGAAGGGACATTTCTGGATCGATATAAGAAAAGAAATAAAGAACTGAAACAGAAGAAGAATAAAGAAAAAGTCAGAAGGAAATAATCAAGAGAGAATGTGTGTGTGTGTTTTCCTTTACCCACTCAGATAAAAACATCTTAGTATTCCCTTCATGGATCCCTTTCATGCTGTGCTGCTAGAGGCTGGTCCCTCAGGCAGAGGTAATTTCCCAGTGGAAAGGATATATAACATAATTCTAGGCAGAGGTCATATCAGTGTGGCTGGAGATAGGACCAAGTGTGGGTGACAACCATAGAAATGTACAATAGAGAAGGTGATGTGGCCCTGCTCTCAAAGTACAGCACGTATCTTCATAGTGTTCACTTGCAAATTCCTATTTGTCCACACTATGGGCCCAGGATAAGCAGGTATAATATAAACTGCTAGATAGATACATGTTTTCTTCTCTAGTTAAACTTAAGCACATAGGAGAAAATGGTTTAGTTATTTTTTCCCAAAAGCAAATGGAACTTGAGTTTATAAATTTATAATTTTCAAAGCCAATCGAAATGTATATAACTACTGAATTAAATTTATCATGCCCAATAGAATGAAAGATTAATTAACTGTTGTAGCTACTTTTGCTGCCAGGGTCTCCACTGTGCTAGCTGTAGTAAGCAATTATGAAATGATAATCCCAGAAACAGTAGCAGCGGTGGCCGTCACTGCTATAACAACAACAACGGCAGAAGCAATGTCAAATTCTCTTCTGGAGCAGGTGGACATCCACTGGCATGGATACAACTCCAGGAACACGAACCACCAAGGCCGATTTTTCTTGATCCCAGCACGACTTATGCTGGCAGCTCTTCTGGAGAATCCAAAAGCATGGCTACAGTTCCTAGGCTTACGTTAATGCTTGCCAAAGCTGGCCATATTGGGCTCTCAATCCCCATTGGCATCGGAAGTGGAGAGTTTTTCATTAAGGCCCAATAGGTCTCTGTCATGTTGGGTTTCAGCAGCATTCACAGGGTGCACACAGCACTCAGGATTTCAAAGAGTAACCTCATTGTCCTGAGGAAAGACATAAACTGAATCCCGGGCCTATACCAACATCAGATCGGGTCTCCTTCGAGTGCTAGTAGAAAGATCCTTCTATTGTTCCAGAAGGTGATTTGCAACAGGAGACCTCCAGTGCTTATCTGCAGTGGATACTCCAGCAGGAACCACTGATAAAAAATTTAAAATATATAAAACAAGGGAAAGAGTAGAATGTGGAGAGGAATGATGAGTCCCCAGTGCCCCTTTTCTTACTCCAGCAAAATATGTTTGTTTGGCTCCTTTTTAAACAGTTCAAATTTTTCTTTTTTTGTGTGTTTTTTTCATTTTTCACTTTTTCAGATTAATCAATTTATCTGCCTTTCTGTTATCAGCTTGATACAGTATGTATTCTCATCTTAATTGTGAAATGTTTCATTGAAGCTTGCTCAGTAATTGATTAAAACCAAAACATTATAAGTCACAGTCGTCCTAGGGTCCCCCATGATATATATATAGTCTCCATGGTTCTGTGGGTTGTAGTCTGATTGTTCTTTATTTTATATCTAGAATCCACTTATGAGTGCGTACATACCATGTTTGTCCTTCTGGGTTTGGGTTACCTCACTCCGGATGATTTTTTCTAGTTCCATCCATTTGCCTGCAAATTTCATGCTTTCATTGTTTTCTCTGCTGAGCAGTACTCCATTGCGTATATGTACCACATTTTCTTAATCCATTCTTCAGTTGACGGGCATCTAGGTTGATTCCAGGTTCTGGCTATTACAAATAGTGCTGCTATGAACATAGTTGAGCATGTATCTTTGTGGTATGAATCAGCGTTCTTTGGGTATATGCCCAAGAGTGGTATGGCTGGGTCTTGAGGTAGTTCGATTCCTAATTTTCTGAGAAACTGCCATACTGATTTCCACAGTGGTTGTACAAGCTTGCATTCCCACCAACAGTGGAGGAGTGTTCCCTTTGCTCCACATCCTCTCCAACATTGACTGTCATTAGTGTTTTTGATCATAGTCATTCTGACAGGTGTAAGGTGGTATCTCAGAGTCGTTTTGATTTGCGTTTCTCTGATAATTAAGGATGTTGAGCATTTCTTTAAATGTCTTTCAGCCATTTGTGATTCTTGTTTTGTGAATTCTGTTTAGCTCACACCTGATTTTTTACAAAGAAGCCAAAACTATACAATGGAAAAAAGAAAGTATCTTCAACAAATGGTGCTAGCATAACTGGATGTCAATATGTAAAAGATTACAAATAGATCCATATCTATCACCATGCACAAAACTCAAGTTCAAGTGGATAAAAGACCTCAACATAAATCCAGTTACACTAAACTTAATAGAAGAGAAAATAGGAAGTACTCTTGAACGCATTGGCACCAGAGACCATTTCCTAAATATAACACCAACAGCACAGACCCTGAGCACAACAATTAATAAATGGGACCTCTTGAAACTGAGAGGCTTTTGCAAGGCAAATGACACAGTCAATAAGACAAAAAGACAGCCTACAGAATGGGAAAAGATCTTCACCAACCCCACATCTGACAGAGGATTGATCTCCAAAGTATATAAAGAACTCAAGAAACTAGACATCAAAATACTGAACAATCCAATTGAAAAATGGTTTAGTTATTTTAAATAATAATCTGTAGCTTATTGAGGGATGTGTGGAAGAGCCACAGCTTCACCTGCTCTGAAGCAGCACTGCCCCTCTGTGAACAAATAGGAAGGTCTTCACTCAACAGTGTCTCGAGCCTAAAAGCAAGGCACCAAATCATTCTCTAGAGTCAATATTTTTTGAGATGGAAAGAGATTAGCATCATAATTACTTGTCTGTCTGTCATGCCTAACTACTTTATTCGGGAAAATTAGAGACGCCATTCATAAGACTTATGGAAATGGCAATGCTTGTTATTTACAATGAAGTTTTATAAAATAAGCAAATGGTTGTATTTGACATGAGACATATTTTATTGACCACTCCCCTATATAGACCACTTGTACACATGGTGATTATTAAGCGGTAAACACTCTTTTTTCACTAACTTTTTTTATTTATTCTTTGGTATTTTGAGATTATTATATAATAACATCAATTCCTAATTCCCTTTCTTCCTCCTAAAACATCCCATATATTCCTCTTTACTCTCTTTCAAATTTATGGCCTCTTCTTTTATTAATTGTTGTTACACACATATGTATGTACATATTTATGCACAAATACATAAATATAACCTACTCATTCTATATGATGTTATTTGTAAGTATGTTTTCGGAGCTGACCAATCAATATTGGATAATCAACTAGAGTGCTCTTCTTTGTGAAAAATTATTTCTCCCACTATCAGCATTCCCTAGGTACCAGTACTCCACTGTCTAAGACTGAGGCTTTGGGCATTTTCCCCATCCACTTTATCAGGTCAATAGTCCTAGTTAAGCTCATGTATAGACAGTGTCAGTGAGAGTTCTTGGGTGTGGATTCTGACATTCCTAGGAGTCACAATTTCACAGCAAACTCCCCGATCTTCTGGCTCTTATTTCCCCCTCCCCCCGTCTTCTTCAGTGTTTCCTGTACCTTAGGTGCAGGAGTTATATTGTAGACATATCCATAGGGACTAGGTTTCACAACTCTGCATCTTGATTGCTTGTGGTTTTCTGTGATGGCCTCCATCTGCTAGTAAAGTCATGGATCTTGGAGGAGAACCTACAACCAGAACTTTACTAAACCATCACAATCCCTAACTACACTCTAGTTATTTGTCCTTATCACACACACATTCCTTTGCACAGGGTCTGCTCATCTGGCTCATTTCAGAATGAGTCGTTGATTCTCTTTTTTTGAGTTGTAAGAGTTTTTACATCATCTCCTTAAAGTCAGTTGAACAAGACACATGTTTGAGCACTTTCTCATAACTGTTGTTCTCTTTACTTTCTTAAAGGTGTTCAGATCTCTGCCTGGAAAAGTTCAAAGCAAGATGAGTAAAGATAAATATATGAAGAGGTAACTCAGGATGATGAATTAGAAGATTCAATAGCTTCAACTTGCACTGAAGTCTTTTGTAAATTCAATAAAATAGTACTAAAACGCGAAGCACCATTTTTTTAAATTGATGAATTGAATGGACACCAGCCCACAGAAGGTGGCATCGTTCTGTGGGAAAGTGTCCTGGGTCACATAAGAAAGCTTCTTAAGTGTGAGTCTGTGAGTGACCTAGCTACAGAGTTCCTCCATGTTTTCTGTTGTAATCTCCTGTTTGAGTTCCTGCCTTGGTCACCACCAGTGATGGACTGTGATCTGGAAGTGAAAACTAAATAAATCCTTCCACTTTCTCAGTAGCTGATTCGCAGAGAGTTTCATCACAGCAACAGAAAGGAAACAGAGCATCCAGCTGTCTGCACATTCTGTATCTTCCATGACTTGATGTTCTTGGTGTTGCTACAGTTTGTTTTCTCCTTACTGACACTGACCCTGTCCACAGCAGGGTCACCTGGAAACTGGCCTTTGCCTTTCATTCCCTTTCTCCTTTTTTTGCGGTTCAGCACACTGGGGCTTAAATGATCACATTGTTTCTGTCTTCCCATCAGCTTCTCAGTGACTTTTGAGATGGACGTTTATGCTTTGTGAGATAATATATATTGAGGAATGAAGACATATGCCAAAGTCTTGAACCTACAAGGTAAAAACTTACCTGAGGTTGTAAATCTACCAATACAGGAAACAGCTATTAAACAAGGCATGCAATTCTGTAGTGGCTTCCTGATGTCTTGTGACTGGGAAAGGCCATGCCCACCCAGCTGAAGGTTTGTGTACTGACTGCAGGTGTGTGGGGAGCACTGTGGTTCCACAACACAGAAATAAGTGCCTGAGTCTGTGGTCTGGGAGGAGGAGATGTACAGAGAACTTCGATATTCTTTAGCTACTGTCGTGGATGTCAGTCTTCCAATCTGCTTTGTTCCAGAAGGATTGGAAAACAGGCTGACGAGGTGTCCCCCAGGACTTTGGTGAAACCACTGCACTTGGGTTGCTATGGTGGAAAAGTTGCACTGCAGCTCTGCACGCTCTCCCTCCTGCAGAACCAAGGACACAGGACTCTGCTTCACTTGTTGACCTTTCACCCCTGGTTAGAAACAGAGAAAGAGACAGAGATGGGGTCACTGAGCATCCACAGAACCCTGAACACACCCCATGTCCTCTGAGAAGGTGGGAGTTCTGCAGGACTCCTGAGCTGCTTCCCCACCCCTCCATGTGCTGACAGAATCCTCTCTGTCCCTGAATATGAACAGCCAGACTCACAGCAAACCTGGGTGCACAGCAGCCCCAGCAGAGAGCACAGCAGCCTCTTCATGGTGCTTGTGTGGCTGCTGGAGACAGAAGCAAGGAACCAAGCCCTGGGCTGTGGTGTCAGGATGGCTGTTGAATGTCCCTCCTCCTGCAACAACCAGTCAGCCCCACCCAGGAACCCTGCCAGGCCAGACACTGCAGAGTTCCCTCCCAGCCTTCTGAGCCTGAAGCTCCTCCCAAACCAGACCTGCCTGAGAGTCTAGGTGGAGTGCAGTGGGAGGCAGGGCATTTTGAGATGACCCTGGAGTTGAATGGAGTTAGGGATCCAGGAAGCAGGAGAGAACCAGCCCCTCCCAAGCAGAAAAAGCCTCAGCCACACACAGAGTCTGGCACACTGAGAGAAGCAACAGCTGAAGGTTTAACTCAGGAAACAGATGCATGTTCTGACTAAAGACCCATTACTGGGGCCTGAGAGATGGCTCAGCAGATAAGGGTCCTTGTCCTTCCAAGAGGCCTTAGTTCCCTCCCCAGCATCTACTTTAGGTGGCTCACAGCTGTCTGTAGCTCCAGCCCCTGGGACCTGACACTCTCTTCTGTCCTCCTGAGAACCTGTACACAGGTGCCATACACTTTACATAGACCCACTCTCATACACATTGAAAAATAACAATAATCATCACCCAATAAATAATTTAAGTAAAATCACTGCAGTAGCAAAACAAACAGCATCATAACAATAGAGTAAGTATAGATGTAATGGTTTAATAGTTTTAGAATCATTTTAAAAATTGGGATACTCCTGCACCAGTAAAGGTTTGTTCCAAATATTGTTTTAAATATTACTGTTGGGAATCTCTGCTCAGGCTCCGTTCCTCCAATTCCAGATCCTGCCCCTCAGAAAGCCCATCAAGGGTCGGCTCCTCCCCTAGAAATGCTCAAGACCACATCTACAGGGTACTTACGACATGGTCTCTAGACCTGCAATATGATTTCTCTCCTGCTTCCTTTCCAAGAGTCACCCAGGAGTTGCTTTGCTCACATTAAAACTGATCTTATTAATTTGGCCTGATATGATTTATTGCATCCCCTGGAGAAACCCACTATCAGGGTACAGAAAACATTCAATGGCAGCATAAGAAGGAAGTGCAATGGGAAAAACCAATATAGGAATCTTGTGTTCCAGAGCGACAGGGGTAGCAGTGCTGGTGTGCTATTGCACATGGTGACTACTTGGAACAATGCACTAGAGTTCATAACAGTAGAGGAATGCATTTCAAAGTTTTCACTACAAAGACAATTGCTTGAGAAATGAGACTGGAAATGAAACATGAACAGCATGAGGACTGGGAGAGGTAGGCAGAAGCTGCTCTGAGTTTAAGAAGGTTTAGATGCCTTTGTCATCGGGACAATGGAGAGACAATGGGGAAGAGACACTGTCTTTCCCTTGGCCTGTCTCTGGCATCTGCATAAAGTATGTTCTGTCAGAACACCTACCAGAGCAGTGGAAAAGATTTAAAAAAGTAACTATTCAGTAACTTCATCTGTGAACATAATGTATTCAGATCATACTCACCACTACCACCCTGCTCTCCCTACAACTCCTCCCAGAACCCACTAAATCCCTCTCCCCTGCATAAGCAAGGAAGCCAGAACAGGACCATGAGGGCCAGAAGAAAGAGCTTAGGAGAAAGCGGTATGGTAGTAGAACACAGGTAATGTAATGTCAAAGGGGGCAGGAAAGGCACTAAGGGGAGAGGGGTGTGACAGGGTAGGGGGAGAAGGAAGGTTTCTGTGTGTTTATTCTAACCTATGAAAACATCATTTACCTTTAAGAAAGGAGTGTCCTCTAGAGGCCCAATTGAGAAATAACAAGTTCACAAGGGCAGTAGACTTCCCCCTGTCTTTGCTGACTTCTGAATGTGAATTCTAAGGCTTTCTGATCACGCACAAAGGAAGCTTAATGCTCTCTAAGTAGAGACTTGTGAGTTTTTAGAAAAGAAAAATACAAAGTTATGAACTGAAATGAAAGAATATGATACTTTAGAGTGAGAAAATTGCAGCATTTTTACATATTTCAGAACAAGTACCAGGGACATAGAAATCAGAACACTGCATAGTTACCAGATTTCTACACAGCACCATCAAAATACCCAAGAAAAAGATGCGATTGATGTTGCTAGGAATATTGTAGATTTGTTATTACATGAAGAGTAAACTAAGAAGTACAAATTTGAATAGTTTATAAAAGTACAATAAAAAAAACCAAACCAGCAAGTCTGCTACAGACAGTCTTCACTTTGATGAACTGAAACTCAAATTCAACATGATGAGAGACTTAGTAACCTATGCAGTCCCTTGACTTTTCTTATAAAATACAACATAATTCAGAATTGTCACCTGGCACAGTCTACGCCTTTCCCACTGAGAAGACTATGCCATGCATGAACACTAGAGGGCAGGAGTTATGAGCATTGCATTCCAATTAGACTACCACAATTCTCCCTCTAGCAAGGTATTTTGAGTGTTAATTGTAGGAATGAGTCCCTGTCTCTCCTCCTCTCCCTTCCCCTCTCCCCCTCTCTCCTTCTGTCCCTCCCCCCACCCCTCTCTCTGTAGTCTCTGTGTGTGGTATCACTCAAAATGAAGTCATTGAGATCCTTAACAGGTAACGCTCAATGAGGTAATTTTGTGCCAAAGGAAGAACACAAAGGACAGAATCCTCTTTCGACAGATCAGTGTGCCCAGTGTGGCAGCAGCAAGCAGTGAGAACAGGAAAGAATATTGGAAGCTGTATTATATTCAACAATATAGGGAGGGGAGCTACAGATTCCAACACCAGAAACTGTCTGGTGATAAAGCAACATGACTTTGAGTTAAGGAACCAACAAGCAAATAGTCACAATGTAAAACGGCATTAGCTAAAGGCTGCGAAATCTTGATGGCAGCTCCTATGTGTACAATGAATGACAGTGGGTCACATGAATAAGTCCAACTAAGTCATTCATCCTAGCCAGATCAAAGACATATTTAGGGCCACTTTATCACCAACTGGCAGGTGAAAATTGTAATTGAGGGGTATTTGGTGATGAACAGTCTTCAAAATATTTTACTTTTGAACACCACTTAAAACTGAAGACAATTTAATCATCACTGGGCTCTCCTTAGACCTTGAGTCGGTTTGGGTAAGGGACTCTGGAGCATGTGCTTCATTATCCCCACATTAAATATTCTTCCAATCTGGATAATTTATCACGTATGTGTTCTACAAAGAAATCTTAATATAACAATTTATCACATTAGTATTCATATTATGGTCTTTTACATGCATAAATCTAGCTTTGGAAAAAATAGATGAATTTATTAAACAACAATCTCAGTATCAGGCATGGGAGTTATTGCCCAGGGAGGCCTCAGAAGTATACAAAACAGCACTGGATATTGTCATGGTTCTTGGTTGCCCACTATAACTAGATGGTGAAAGATTATGGCTAAAGCCACCACATTCTACAGTTGCATGACGTAGAGAAATCAACCTTGAACTGACTGAAGAAAGTCCTCCTTGCTGCTTAGCTTTCGTAGCTGGAAGGTCCTATGCAGGCTGCTGGGGAAGAAAGGTCCCAAGAGTATTAGCCAGAGCTGGACCCTGCATGCTGCAGTACTGAACTTCCAGGTCATACGTGCTCAGTAGTGTAATTGTGGCCTGACTGCTATGGAATAACAATGTTTTCTGATTGGATTTGAAGCCTCGTCAACAGGAGGGAATTCATGCCTAGTACAGTGCCATGGTCAAAAATCCCATGGTTCAGGAGGCCTTAGGTACTAGGAGGAAACTACTATTGTTATTTTGCTAAATGGTCATATCAAACTGCCTTCTAAGTGTGTGTTTATACTCGAGGATTATTGCTAGTCTCCGCTTTGGTTGGAATATGTGTTTCAGTGAGTTTCTATAAAAGGTTTTCCACACTGTTTTGTTCAAATGTCTGTAGTGTTAGTTATCACTATCCCATGTTCCTCCCTCTACCCTGCCTTCTCATTCTCATCTATTAATCCTGCTCGTTCCATTTCCCCTTTTATGGAAGTCATTTTCTGTTTCCCCCTCCTCTGAAGATCCCCTCCTCCCTCATGGCTTCGTATTGATATTTAACATCTATGGATATTTCAAATGAAACACACATATTAAAAACTAGCATCCACATACTTGAGAAAATACTCTGTTTTTCTCGGTCTGGGTTATCTTGCTCTGGATGACTGTTTGCAGTTCTACCATTTACCTGAAAATTTCATAATTTCATTTTTCTTATCAGCTGAATAAAACCCTACTGTGTAAATGTACCACATTTTCACAATTCACTCATCAGTTGATGGACATCTAGAGTGTTTCCAGTTCCTAGTGATTATGGATAGAGCAACAGTGAACATGGAGGAGCAAGCATCTCTGTGGAAATATGTAGAAACTTTTGGTTAATTCCCCAAGACTGGCATAGCTAAATCTTGTGGTAGATCTGTGGTCAGAATTTGGAGGAAACTCCACACTGATTTCCGTATTGTTTGTGCCCATTTGTATTCACATTGACAATAAGTTTTCTCTCTCATGTCATCCTCTCAGGGGGTGTCCCGGTCCTCTGGCTCTTCTGCTCCTTCTCTGTGGTGCTCCCTGAGCCTCATGTGTAGGGATTGCATTGTAGATGGATTAACTGGGACTAGAGAACTTACAATATTTATTCTCTGATTTTTGAGCAGTTGTCTATGACTATAGTAGCCCCTCTGTGCTTCAAAGTGAAGCTTCTTTCATGAGGGTTTAGAACTACACTTATCTGTGTGTATTAGTGGTGACATTTAGGAGGAGCTGCAGTCACCAATGAAGCTTATGGAGTAACACTCACCAGTGAGCACAGCTAGGATGAGTGTATTATGGAGAGGCAATGCCCCCATGGGGGTGTCTCCATAAAGCCCCTTACTTCTGCTAGTCCTTCTCCTGCTTGCTGCTATCTTGTACTTACTGCATTTGTCATGGTATAGTTTCATATTGGGAGAATCCCACTGTATTTATTGTAGTGAGATCAT